TTGTTTCAGATCAAGAACCTCAGGTGCCATCACAGGCCATCTCTGGGCCTAGTCTAGCAAACATCAAGCTCGAAGTCCACACTAAGGCTGCATTTGTACATGTTTCAGTAGTTTCAACCTCTGATTTGAATGAGGAAAATAAAAAATAATTTGGCTCACCAATCCAAACTTTTAGTAATGTGAAGAACTGAAGCCAGAGTTTTTTGAAAAACTGATTTTTCAAAAATCAGACTAATTTAAACAAACATGAATTTTAGAAATTCATAAGATGAATATAGCACAATTATCTGAAATGTATACAAGTGTGACTTTGTATTTATGACTCCTGACATCAGAAAATCTCCATACCTTTCATAGGAAAGCCTGAGAAAAAGCTTATAAGACAGACTTAAGAGGCAGAAGTCTTCATATTCTAGTCGAAGGGTCTCTTATATTTATAGAAGGCTTTTACCTAAAAGTCAAGTCAGCATATTCTTGTCATTGAGAATTCAGGACAGGGAGTCTGGAGTTTCAAATACATTCAATTAACAGTAGGCAGCAGGAATACATAAATCTTTTTATAAAAAATTTATTTCTCTGTAAATACAAATTCCAACATCAACAAACAATAATCCAGTGGAAAAATACTAGCCATTAACATTGAAAACTTTTTTCTTAGTTTAATAAATAGAGCTTTGGCATTCAAAATTCTAGCTGTAAACCCTATTAAAAGATAAAACCAAAAACAACCCCTTTAAAAAAGGAGGCAAAAGTGATAGGTCAGAAGGCATAAGCCAGCCAGTGGCTTCACATTCTTTTTACAATAACTGTATTTTAATTAAGTTATGAACACTGTATTTACATATGAGGTATTTTGGATGGTTCAAAAACTGAACCTAGTTTACAAAAACCACCAGTCACAGTGACTGATTATGCACTCAGCTGTGCTTTTAATGTAACCACCTAGCACCTTACTACTTCTTGCCATCACACCAACATGACACTGAACTTTACATTTATATATTTAAATAACTACTCATATATATCTATGTACATACATATACACAACAAATGAATACATTCTATAGGAATTCCTCACACTATACAGGGAGGCTGGGCTCCAAGAACGTGATACTTCCTTTCATGTTCACTAAGGCATCCACTTCCTAATGACAAATGTTCCTTGCTTAAAAAAAAAAAAAAAAAAAAAGTCCTTAATCAAGTCTATTTAAAGAACAAGGTGCAACAATCATCACCATTCTTATAACTCATGTAAGATAGAATGAACACTTGCTGCAGGCAAAAAGGCACAAAAGGTTCTCTCTGAACACAGCTGCAACAGTGCTCCTTAAAGACTTACTGATTTGAAACCATTCATATTGTATTCTTTTAAATAAGAAAAAAATTCCCAAATATTTCCCCTTCATGATTAAATGTGTGATATAATCATATGGCAATTACTATGAATGGCATTTTGGGGGCAAAGTTGGAAGTTTACTTTTTATAACAAATAGAAAATAGTTCCTCTTGTTTTGTGAACACTGAAAAGAACTGTTGAAAATGGAAAACAAAATGAATTAACTTTAGCTCTGAGAGCTACAGTTATTGGCAGTCTGAGTGAGCATGGTTATAAGAATTGCTTACATATGTAATTACATATCTACAGTGATAGAAATCTAAATAACAGAATGCCAATAATCCAAACTCAAGTTATGCCTGAGCTGAACTGTGCTCTGTAAAAATACAGTCCAGGTGTTCAGTTACTGTGACTCAATGAACTATTACTGATATTTAAAGGACATTTTCCCATTAAAGTAGTTTCTTTAAAAATATTCTCTAAAAGATTCCTATTGAGTTTTGCACAATGACAGAATTAATTTGCAAGCTTATTACTAAGTCAGAAATGTACAATTTTCATTTTAGCAACACTTTCCAGCCCTTGGGATTGTCTTTAACAAGCTACTGGAAGAAAGCCTATTTCAGTTTAATAAACTGTCACAACCAAAATAAATTTCACTAAGATATGATACTGCTAAATTGAAATATTAAATCCTATTTCAAATATAAAATGGGGCCACATATTTTTAAAAATAAGTTCAGGCATATCTTACCTAGTCAATACTTAAACACTTTTTAAAAATTACAGGCCATTAAAAATTTATTAACAATCTAAAGTCTTCGTATTTTTCTGACATCAAATGAAAACAGCTTTTGTGCCCTTGACTCAGCTAATGTTGTTATGTGCACAGCCAAAGTGGATCTGTTATGGAGTCATATTCATCCACGCTGAATATGAGTGAGTTAGAACAGGCTTTACTTCAAAGCGCAAAAGATCAATTATGACACTTCCTAAAAAGATAAGCATTTAATAATACACAAAAGCATAATTAAAAAGAGGTTTAATTATCTAAAGAAGTTTTCAAATAGACTGACTTTAAAACTTAAATTAATTTCCATTTCAGGTATGTATCACTGTAATAACTTCTATGAACACTCTGGGGCAAGACACCATAGTGTTGCTATTTGTCTGTCTTAGCTGACCTAATAGTAAAATATTTGTTTTTAATGTGACACCAATATTATTACTGACTGCTCTAACACAAGAGGGTGTGGGTGTCTTGAGGAAGGGAAGTTTTCTGAAAAATAAAAATTAAAAATTAAAAGCTGCCTAATTAGAATGTTACTAGATTCATTTTTTTCTCAGAATTCCTTACAAAACTTCTACTTATTTTCTAGGCCCCTTTACAAACTTCAGACTCTAAGAAATTATATTTTATAATCCAAGATTATACTTAAAACTATCATATCTTCATGCTTTTTTAAAACAAGAGTATACAATTTCCAAAGTGAAATACATCAGCAAAAGTTCTTGTTATATTTTTTACCTTAAGATATGTTAATTAAATTAAATTTTGTAAGTTTTAGAAAGAAAATTTACTAAAACAAAAAATCATTTCAATCCCAACCAGGCTAGGGAAAAAAAACAAACAAACTGTACCTTTAAGAGAGTAAAACAAATGGTCATAAGTCTGCTTGAAAGAATAATAACCATAAAACTCCACAACATAAACTATTAAACTTAGGAGATATTTAAGTAAGAACCTATTGACCCAAGGGTGCCTTATTTTTGAAATCACGGTAGGAAGGTGTGAATTCTATTCAAAGAGAATGTAAAAATGTTATTGGGTGCAATTGTGGCTGAACTGTGGCAGATATTATGATCCACTTTTCTGTAAAGGGACATCTTCACAGATATTAATCCTTGTAAGGCAGAATTCTTTGCATCCATTTTTTTTTTTTTTTTTTGTACAAATTTACTACTTTTTGATTGTCTTCAAAGAACTAACACTAAAAACCAAATGAATACATTAGGAAACCAAGTTCTTATAGTGACTAAGTCCTTTCTGAGGTCAGGGACCTTAGGATGCAGAATCACTATAATGCACTGATTTCTTAGTGGCCAAATCCTATAAAGAGGAGCAGCATGGACTCAGGCACTGAAAGAAAGGGAGATGTGATGTCTTACAGTGTATTATAGTGAAGTGTTGAACTAGAATCATGTAACAGTTTAGTGAGAGCTGTAAATAAGCCAACATTCTAAATAGAGTTTTCCTGGGTGTCTCCTTGAAGGCCTTGCTCTATTATGCTTTCTCTGTTGAGAACAGAAAAAAAAAAATCTTTTCTAGGAGCAGCCTTTGTATACATATGCTTGGCAAGAAAACAGGCATATGATCTGCTCCCAAACAAACAATATCATCCTGACTGATCTATACATCGTATTCCCCACTTCTTTAGTCTTGCCTAAGTAAATCCTGACAATATTGAAAAATCAAACCAATTTATAGGGGACAATAGTTTACCATAACTAAGTATATTCAAAAGAATATGATCAATGCTCTGAAGAACTAAAACATAGATAACATTCATTTAGAAGTTTACACGTTGCATGTCTATTAAAAATCAGTTTATTTCATACTAATACCCTGTCTTCCAGATGAATAACTAACCAAGCCAAGTTCATATTCTATAACAATCCCTGTTATTAATGAAATATATCTAATAAAAGGAAATAAAATTATCATCTAGGTTTAGATTTTGTTTTATGTTAGTGTTAGTTCAGATAAAGAGCTGGCTTTCTCTTAATGTAGTTGCAAAATTAAAACAGGTACAAAACTGTTAAAATGTAAATGCTGAGACTTTGATAAATAAACTATCATTCCAGAGTCAGTCTGACAATCTTTGCTTAACAATGATCTGAGGCCTTGTTTGCATTAATTATATATGGCTTTGTTTATACTGCCATATATAAACAAAAAAACTGTAAGTAGTAAGAGATAGGATAAAATAATTTCAACTTATGTTAAACTTTCTTGTAATGTATAAATTATAGTGCTGATGAAAAAGATTATCACATCAGTACTTCACACTCTTACAATCACTCTGGAGAAAAAGCTGACCTATCCCAACTCCAGAACCTCATCATCTCAGTTCAGTGATTATTTAAATCACAAATGGTTTTGCCTGCTGTACTTCTATTAAACACTTGCCTACTGTTGGAACTCTTATTCAGCTAGCCCCTGAAAATATCAAAATACAACACAAGTTTCCATATGAAAAAAAGAATAAACAGTGTGTGCCTTTCTTAGAAGATTTGATTTGATGCTTGAAATCCTTATAATTATGTGAACTTAAAAGCACTTACACACACACAAACCTCAAACATATGCATATGCAAACACATAAAACCTACAGAAGTAAACAAAATCCTATCCCTTTATCTGAAGGGCACTATTCAAAAATTGGTCCTATAATCAGTAGTTTGGAAATTTGCTTTTTCTTGTTGACTTTATCACATTTTTCAAATGATAATTATTTTGCCTGATTAGATAAGCCCCTTAAAAATCTCCTCACATTCCTATTTTCCCTCAATTAAACAAATCAACACACACATACCCACACCCACACACATACAGACAACCTATGTGCAAGTGGTATGTCACTTGCAATTTTCCATTGTAACTCTTAAAAAGAAATATGAAGAACTCTAACTCAGCAGCATTTAACAATGGGTCATTATTGCTGTGGGACCAACACTTGATCACTGGGTTATGCAGTTATCTCCCATGTCCTGAGCATAGCGGTCTGATATTGTAGTTCTTAATTCATCAATGTCTCTCCGTAACTGGCACACATCTGACAGTCTTTTAGCAAGTGTTTCTGAGCTGTGGTCACTTTCAGTCTCTTCAGCTGAACAATTCATTGCTGTGTAAATAAAAAATGGACAGAAGAATGACTCATTTTGCTTTGAATAAAGACGTTTTAGGATTTTCATTTTAATCATCATGGAAACATAATATTATGCACTGAATATCAATGAGGCTCAGATTTAAACTATGCATCATTTGATATTTAAATAGGTATTATCTACCTGGTCCTTTAAAATTTTTGTTAATTAAGATGTGTTAAATTCATACAGCAATACATAAAATTCAACCTATTTAATTGATGACAATGTTCCAAAAGTGAAAAAGAACATAATCAAATGTCTCTTTCCAAGTTCAACTAGAGAACCCAGTTCTTTCCTTTTGATAAAATCTAGAAATCATTTGCAGAGGAAGTAGTTTAAATTTTTATGATTGCAAAATGGGTTTTTATTGGCATGCAAATATTAATTTTCAAAATATACAGAGGTTTGGGGCCTTATAATCCCAAACAACTGAATCAAGTTGATAGCTGGTTGCCCAAAGTCTCAGTAACAAGGAGTAAATCAGCTAGCTTTTACTTACTTACTCCAGTATCTATTTGTGAGCATGTCACAACCTAAAATCAAGCACAGCCAGTGACTGTGAAATAAACCTTTCCTTCTACCTTCATTAGTCCTAGTAGTTTATTAAAGACATAAGGTTAGATAAACTGTTATTTTAACAAACATTAAATGGACATTTGCCCTGAGTCCAGGGGTCATGCTAGATGTGCAGGTCAGTGGCTTGTTCTCAATGCTTTACACATGATTTCATAAACAAATGAGCACAGTGAGTATTGTGATAACCTGAACTACAAGCTATAGAAGCACTAAAGGAAGAGAACAACCAGCCCTAACAAAAGAAATATCAAATACTCACTAAGAGGGCCAAGAAAGCAGAATGAACAAAAGTATAGAGGCAGAAAATTAAAGAGTCTGAAATAATTTGACAAACTTCAATAAAATTAGTGTCCAGCTCTAAAATGATACGGTACAAATCATGAGAGAAGAATGACAAGAAATAAGCCTACCAAGGTAGGCAGTGCTATTTCTCTCACAGAGGAGAGTAAGTATTAGGAAACCAGATTCGAGGTTTAGAAGACAGATCACTCTGGAAAAAATGTGAAAAATGGACTAGGGAAAGGACTGTGAGGAAAATGGGTTACACATAGTACAGGGATGAAAGATCTTGTAAGGAACAATCAACAATTTGGGTGAGGGTCAGAGCTTGGGGAGTTCACAGATGAAGGAAGAAGCAAAGTGAAGTAAAAAATCTGGGCTAGGGTGATAGGTGAATGTTGGCACTACTTACACACTGCAAGGAGAAAGTTTAGATAGGTTCTGCTTAAGCCATGTTGAGTTTCTGATGCCTATGAAACAGCCAGTTCTCAAATACACACAGATGAACTACAAGGAGCCCAGAAGAAATATTCTAGGCAGGGAAAGAGATAAACATTTGTTTGGTGGAAAAGGTTTAACAATAACAGGGCAGATATAAGATTATGCAGAAAAAGGATTAAATAAAAAAAGAAATAAAAAACTAACAACAAGGGGATGGGGGGTTGTGGCTCAGTGGCAGTGCGCTTGCCTAGCATGTGTGAGGCACTGGGTTTGATCCTCGGCACCATATAAAAAATAAACAAATAAAATAAAGGGTATTGGTTTCATTAAAAAAATGTTATTGAAAAACAAACAAATAAAACCACCAACAAAAAGTTTCTGGAAGCCCTAATACAGAAGTAGTAAGGAAATCCATGGAAGACTGAGACTGAGCAGTCACAAAGGCAAAAGCAGAACCTAGAGAATGATGTCATGGAAACCAAGGTAATAAGAGTTTTAAGGAGTGTGGGGAGCAGAATCAACAGCTAACCAAAGGAGTCACGAGATAAAAATTCAAATGAATCCATTGCTTCTGGCAAAAGAGTTGGCTGGTCAAATTTTCACAATACCAAATAAATATAAGGTAAGGATTCCAGGTTTGAACTTTAATGATTGGAAGAAGTATACATTGGGGTGTGGGGTGAAAGAGGTAAGATTCCTAAATCTTTTGTTCATATTACGATAGCTCTATTACCATATTATGGAAAACATTAACAAATGCTATAGTAAAAAATGTAGGTTACTTATCTGGAAAAATAAGAGACCCAGAATAGCTAAAGCAATTCTAAATAGGAAGAGTGAAGCAGGTGGCATCACAATACCAGACCTTAAACTATACTACAGAGCAATAGTAACAAAAACAGCATGGTACTGGGCACCAAAACAGGCTGGTAGACCAATGGTACAGAATAGAGGACACAGAGACTAACCCACAAAATTACAACTATCTTATATTAGACAACGGTGCCAAAAGCATGCACTTCAACAAATGGTGCTGGGAAAACTGGAAATCCATATGCAACAAAATGAAACTGAATCTCTATCTCTCACCATGCACAAAAACTCAACTCAAAATGGATCAAGGATCTAGGGATTAAACTAGAGACGCAGAGTCTAATAGAAAAAAAGTAGGCCCTAATCTTCATCACGTGGAGCTAGGCCCCAACTTCCTTAATGAGATGCTTATAGAACAAGAATTAAAAACAAGAATCAACAAATGGGATGGATTCAAACTAAAAAGTTTTTTCTCAGCAAAAGAAATAATCTGTGAGGTGAACAGGGAGCCTACATCCTGGGAGCAAAATTTTACCCCTCACACATCAGATAGAGTACTAATCTCAGGGTATATAAAGAACTCAACAAGCTAAGCAACAAAAACCCAAATAATCCAATCAATAAATGGGCCAAGGACCTGAACAGACACTTCTAAGAAGAGGATATACAATCAATCAACAAATGTATGAAAAAATGCTCATCATCTCTAGCAATCAAAGAAATGCAAATCAAAACTACTCTAAGATACCATCTCACTCCAGTCAGAATGGCAGCTATTATGAGGACAAACAACAAGTTTTGGTGAGGATGTGGGGAAAAAGGTACACTCATACATTGCTGGTGGGACTGCAAACTGATGCAGCCAATTTGGAAAGCAGTATGAAGATTCCTTGGAAATCTGGGAATGAAACCACCATTTGACCCAGCTATTCCTCTTCTCGGACTAGACCCCAAGGACCTAAAAACAGCATACTACGGGGACACAGCCACATCAATGTTTATAGCAGCACAATTCACAATAGCTAAACTGTGGAGCCAACCAAGTTGTCCTTCAGTGGATGAATGGATAAAAAAAATGTAGCATATATACACAATGGAATATTACTCAGCACTAAAAAAAAACCAAAAAACAAAATCATGGAATTTGCAGGGAAATGGATGGCATTAGAGAAGATTATGCTAAGTGAAGTTAGCCAATCCCAAAAAACCAAATGCCGAATGTTTTCTCTGATATAAGGGAGGTGACTCAAAGTGGGGTAGGGAGGAGAACATGGGAGGAAGATTATTTCTAGATAGGGAAAAGGGGTTAGGGGGAAGGGGAATAGCAAGGATGGTGAAATGTGATGGTCATCATTATACAAAACATATGTATGAAGATTTGAATTTTGTGTCAATATACCTTATACACAAACAGAGATATGAAAAATTGTGGTATATATGTATATTAAGAATTGTAATGCAAAAAAGGAGTACATGTATAATGGCATAATTTGGTGTGAACATACTTTGTATTATACACAGTTAAGAAAAATTGTGCTGTATATGGGTAATAATGAGTGTAATGCATTCCACTATTGTCATTTATGTAAAAAATTAAAAAATGTAGGTTACAAAATGATTGAAAGGGGGAACAGCTCTAAAATGGTAGGCAAAAATCAGTCTTCTGTGGGTGAGCCTTTACTTCTTGAGCCTTTTACTTCCAAGAGATCATTCCTAACTAAGCCACCTCATGTTCACCTGGCAACCTTCTCCTTTTCCTCTTCAAGATACATACCAAACTCCAGCTATTCCATGGAATATTCACAGCCATTCCCATGTGGATGATTTAGTTGCTTGTCTCCCTTGTGCTCCTATTGTCCCTTTGTCCATGTCTCCATTACAACACTTACAACGATGCTCAGATAATTTGTTTAATGTATGGGCAAGGAATGTATTCAATTTATCTCCAGTAACAGCACCTAACTTATTACCTGGGCCACTGAAAGCATCTGATAAGTATTTGCTGAGTAAGTGAATATACTTAAAACATGAAGTGTTTTTTAAATACCCACACATGTGTACAGACACCTATGAAGTGGAAGAGAAAATCCTGCTGACACTGCTAAATACAGATATATGTTTCACTTAACAAGTGATATACTTGATTAAAAGCATTATTTGATTTGCCAAAATAATTATGATGAGACAAGATGCTGGAATCTTTTTAATGAAACTGGAGAAAGAACTAGTCCTTACTTTGATCACATAAGAACCATACTATGAGACAGTTAGTCAATATAACAAGTCTATTTATAAGCCTTATTTGTGGTTTTGTTCTTTCTGTTCTTATCTTTTCACTAAAGTCTATTTCTTTTCTATTAAAAATGAATAAACATGCCAGTATCTACTAATTTGGAACCATATGTAGAGATAAACATCCCTGCCAAAGTAGCACAAAAAGGAAGGCTCATACTAGGATTTTATTGTGGCAGTCCTTACAATTATGTGTGGAGGAAGACAGAACTGAGGCAGAAAGTGGGTGGGTGTCACATGGAAAAGGGCAAAGACAACAGGTATGCATGACAAACACAACAGATCTGTAGGCTGTGAAAGCTGGCTCATTTGAAAGTACTGGCCCTCACATTAAGCAACTGCCATGTAACACACACTGTATCAAGGAAAAAGTATTATCTATCTAACATTTTACCAGTGAATACATAGCTGGGCATTATCATACAACCATCATAAAAACAAACAGAATTATTACTTTTATAGAAGAGTAATTAGGAATTCACTCCTACTTCTACTCCACGCACACATTTACAGATTTGGTATAGGAAAAATATCTAGGCATTCTGCCAAGGGGAAGTCCATATCAAACATGACCTACCTGCTCACTTCTATAAGTTATGTAATGAGGTAAGTAATAACAGGTATACCTAAACCCATAAATTGAGTCAGAAACTTATAAACCTAAGTATGAAAGAAGATAACAAAAATAAACAGAGAAAAGACAGTAAGAAATTCCTGATTAATGAAGACAGGTTTCTAATTGTTAAGCAATAAATAAAGACAAGTCATCAGCCACTTACATCTAATTCCCAGTAATAATGAAAGATTAGGCTCCTTGCCCTGAGCTCGCTGATTAAGAATACTGCACAATGCTTTCAAGTCAAGCAAACAATAGGACATTTCTTTGAACAGCTGATCAATCACAGTCAAATCAAATAGTGGCCGTTTAGAAAGAACTGTCTGCTGCCTAGATTGGTCTGCTTCCTCGCCCTGATCCAATAAAGAGCATGTCTCTTCTGTTTGTCTTTGGTTCTGCAATGGCTGGAAAAAAAAGAAAAAAATAAAAGAGTTGTTAGAGGAAAAGTACTCAAAAGCAATAAAGGTTTAATGTTTTTTTCTCCAAGACTATAAACAAGTCTATATTATCATACTGCATGTCATATTACATGCATATCAACCAAATTCAACTGCATATGTGCAATGTGAAAAAGAAATATATTAATATATATAGTGGACACAGTTCCTCTGATGCCTTAAGATAAACCTGAGAGAAAACCAAAAACCTATATCCAAAATAGCCTTAGGTTCTAGAATTTCTTATATAATGAACATCTTGGTTGTGTATATATTTTTCTATAATAAAATTTATTCTAAGGACAAAAAAAAAAAAAAAAAACTACAAAGAAACATTAGGCCAGATTCTATTATTTTTTACTGTTAATGGCAATAGTTATTTAATAACTTTGAAATGAATTTTTCTATAGAGAAAAAAACCTTGTTATTAATGTTGACAGAAACAAAAAACTTCAGTTTAATAGAAAAAATACAAATACAAAACCAAAGATGGGAGAAAAACTCAATAATTCTGAATTGTTAAATTTGAGTTGGAAGCATTAATATGAACTATTGACTTACTATATTCAGAAACTGCTACCCTTATATCCAAAATTATCACCTCCTTATCCTGAATACTGCTAATTAAGTTTAGATATGCACGATGGTGTGTGCCTATAATCCCAGCAGCTCAGAGGCAGAAGGAGTTCAAAGCCAGCCTTAGCAACTTGGCGAGACCTGTCTCAAATTTTTTAAAAAAGGGCTGGGGATGTGGTTTAGTGGTTAAGCACCCCTGGGTTCAATCCCTGGTACCCCCAAAAAAGATAAGTTTAAAGGGTTGAGGATTGTCAAGCTGTGCAAGGCTCTGGGTTTAATAGCCAGCACTCCAAAAAACAATATAAAACAAAAATTAGTAGTAGTACTAGTAGTAATAGTTTAATTAGCTGTCCACTTAGAGCTGTTTTTCAGAATAACCAAATAGCTTTGGGTGATAAAAACTCTAACAGATGAATGTCAACTAAGAGGTGTAAAAGGAAGAATATAACTGGGGAAAAATACCATTTTTCAATCATCTTATATTTTAGGCAATGATGGAAAAAGGGTACTGAAAAACTGCATATTCACACAGTCCCACAGATCCTTTGCTGTTTGCAAGGCCTATAACTTTATAATGCAAAAAGTCAGGCTGGGCCATAACCTTAACCCAGAGAAATTAGTTTGTCACTTACAGTGGAATAATCATACACTGCATATTCACACTAGAAGAATTTGACATGAATTTCATATCTTTACCTTAACTTTTGGAGATGCATTCTTAAATATATATGGATGAAATATAATTATGTATATGTACTTTTTTGTATAATAGGTCCTTACATACAGGTCAAATACTTTATCTCAAATGAGAAAGCATGATCTGTTCTAATGATGAACTGCCAACAATGCATCTTCTTTAAGGATTTTCAATGATAATATTGCTTTGTTTTTTTGTGGTGCTGAGGATTGCCTTGTGCGTGCAAGGCAAACACTCTACAAACTGAGCTATATCCCCAGCCCAAGGGTAATTTTGTTTATATTCAATTTATGCCTGATTTATTTTTATTTTATTTTTCACTTTGGGACCAAATTTTCAGACAGCATTTGGCTTTGCTTTAGAATACCATTTTACAGATTTAACTATAAGAAAAATAAATTTGTTTTTGATTTTCATAAGAAACCGAATGAATTTAATTAACTGGCACATCATAGTCAAGTCTCCTTGAAAACTTTCTATTAATTAATATGTACAAAATCAAAATAAGCATTGGCTTAAATTTAAATAGGCAGTGAATCATCCTTTCAAGGCAGTCTGAATTTCATCTACTCACTTCAAGCAGTGCTTTTGTTAATCTTTGCAGGTTTCTCTCTTTCCTCTCCAGTTCTTCCATCATCTTTTGTGTGTTTAATTTTTCTTTAGAAAGTTTGCCCTGCATTGACTAGAACAATAACAACAAAAATTATAAAGCAAAGCATGTTAACACACATACAGGTAACAAGGAATATTGAGTCTGAATAATTTCAATTTTTTTCCCTTCCTAGTTTCTGAGAAGATTAAATCTTTACTTTAAAAATGACTCATTACTTATAGAGTGAATGGCTTCAAAAAAAAAGTAAACAAACAAACAAACAAAAAAACTTCATAAGGAAATGTTTAATCTGTGTAAAACACATCAAATTTACAATTGTTATTTAATGTTATATGACAAATAATTCTTATTTTTTTTGTTTATTGGCAATATGTTAGCACAGTCTCCCTTCTCTGTTTACTAACTATGTTACATGGTGTTGATCTCAATCCATAAATTTATTGGGGGACTTCAATAAATTAAACTCTTTCTTACTCCTTTATAAAATTACAAATCATCTAGACATGATACTATTATAAGAAAACCCTGAGTTGACCAAGGTTACATAGAGGACATTTTTAGAGTACTTAGATTATTTGAGCTGATTAATCCGAATTTTCATCTTACACTAATGAAAACCTTGCCATAAATTCTATAGTTACTAGTGAATTCTAGGTATTCTATCAGCTTTTTTCCTTTGGTTAGACCACAAAATCAACAAACACATGACCAGGGAAGAATATCTTTTTTTTCCTTCCAGGTCTGTATTTATTCTCAACTCAAAATACTCCAATATAATGACTACCCAAAACATAATTCATAGAATTTATATTAGAGTTTTTTCTGCATTATCTCTGTATGGAATAAGAGAGACAGCTATCACCAAGGACGAGAGAGAAGGATAAATATAGACTTCTTAGTAATAGACATTCAAATTTAATAGAGAAGGATAAATATAGACTTCTTAGTAATAGACATTCAAATTTAATTTACTCTAAATAATGAAAATATATTTTAAAAACCAATAAAACCATGTAATAATACATTTTCTTCCAAGAAAAAAAAATGTTCTATATGTGACAAAAATGTAATTCACAGCATGCAGACATATGAGACTCTCTGTGTATATTTTTAGACACTAAAATTCCTTCATAATTCATTGATTCAATGACATATGGAGAATTATTTGTCCTGCAAAGATTTTCTGACCAGATAAGATTTGGCTGTAATCCAGAATTCAAACTAAATTTTCTTAAACTTTGTGACTGCTTATTAGAATTATAGAAGAAAAGCATCATAGATAAACTACTCTAAAACTCACATCTTAACACTGAAAACTGAACTGAAGAGGGATGTTTTCATAATGTTATAATATAATTCTTTAAAAGCTCACGGTGTGTTATATTTCAACCAATTCAGAGTCACCTTGAATGCAACTAATAATTAGCTAGTGACTCATGTTTCTACGTAAGGCTAAATTTAAATCGATGATGGATGACACAGGCAGCCTTCTTCATCAGAAAAGCAGAAGTGTTTGGCAGTGGTGCTATTTGTCAAAAGAAGGAAAACTGGATTTGGTAAATAACATCAAGGTTAACATGTAAGATTGGGTGTACTTAAGGGTACTTATCAGGAAACCCCTTAACAGGGGAAAGAGCTCACAGATGAGCTTTTCCTAGAAGGTTCAAATTGTACCATTTCTAGGATAACACCAGGAATGAGTGTTGGAGCTGTCAGACAGCAACCTCTCACCACAAAAACATTAATTACCTCTTTATCCTAAATTGTATGAAAAAGTATATATTTTAGGATTTGAAGATAAAGGGAGAAAAAAAACTATACTTATGGGCTCATCAGATTCAAATTAAGACAAAATAGAATAAAGTCTGATTATTAAACTACATCTCCAAAATGAAGTTCATGTAAAAACATAATAAATAATATTTCTTATTTTATTTATTTACTACTCATCACTGGGCTACATGCCTAGCACTTTTTTATTTTTGAGGTAGGGTCTTGCTAAATTGCCCAGGCTGGACTCCATCCTTCTTTCTCAGCCTCTTAAATAACTGGGATTACAGGCATGCCTCACCACACCTGGATCTTTGTAGGGGTTTGTTGTTGTTGTTGTTGATTTTTTGTAACCATTCTATCCTTTAACAACACAGGAGGTTTTGGTAAGTACTTTATTTTGGGTATTTTAACATAAAATCATATAAGCTTTTGAGACGTGTTAGTTTTTATAAATGCAATGACATATTTTTTGACATATAAATCCATAATACCAAGTTTGTACATTTTATCTGTAAGATAAAAAAACTCTATAGAAGTTTCAGTTTTTATTCTATCAAGAATAAATAATGCATGTTATTTCACAAAAGAATTTTGCAAAGCAGTTTTTGAGGTCTCTTGAAGATTTAAAAAAATATAATTGCTCAAAATGGTGGCACAGTACACTTAAATAAAATAACCTATATTATTTACTGAAATAAATATTTGATTTTTGTGAAGTTCAAAATAACAATGTTTATAATTCACTAGACATATGGGGGCTTATTAAAATTAAAAAATTGAATTAAGTTCAAATGTCTATATCTCTTAAATTCCCATGTAAATAATATTTTTAAAAATTCTACTAAGTTACTAACCTACTGGTATATACTATGTTCATTTCTGAAGCTGAAGATACTTCTAAGTACATATACTGCTTTGATGTCAAATATTTTGGGAATGACCCATATACAAAAAGCTCAAATGAAGGAAAGCCAGATGTACCTTAGCTAGCAGATTTTATCTACTCTATACACACAACAAGAAATACTTAGGGAAAAAAAAAAAAACATTAGTTCTACAACACACATATACACAAACATATGCACATGTTCAGATATGCTCAAATTTTACACAGTTACATTACGCAATTACTCATATAAACACAATTCTGTGAACAAAACAGTCAAAGCTCTTGGCCTTCACAAATATTTTATTAGGTAGAAAAAGACTAAAGGAAACAAAGTAAATATAACATAGTTTTGTGTGTTATAATTTGATTACTACTGTGGAGAAAAAATAGAGTATTGTAAAATCTTAAGGAGGCCAGAGAATAAGGGCTTCTGGAAAAGGTGACACTTAAGCAAAGGTCTGAAGTAAATAAGAAACTAGGTTCTCCAGATATCTTGAAAGAGTGTTTTAGTCAGTGCAAAGGTTCTAGGGAAGATCTGTGTTTGCTAAACAGCAAACACAAGACAACCAGCATACTAAGAACAGTGGAGCTATAGTAGGGTCAGAGATGAAGGCAGCATGGAAAACAGAGTGGGTAGGGTCTCCTAAGTCCTAAGGAGGAAGAGTTCTGAGTAGACACATGATGTATTCTGATTTTTGTTCAATAGGATCACTCAGACAGATGAGAACAGACTGTGGGCAGAGAAGGATGGAAACAGGAAGAAATAACAGATGAGAAACAAAGATGGCTTAGAGCAGGATGGCAATGGAGGCGAATCTGGAAGCAACCAGATTCTAGATATACTGTGAAGGTGAAAGAATTTGCAGACAAATGTGAGATAAGAGAAGAGCTAAGAATAATTCTAAGATTTCTAGACTGAGCACAGAGAAGATAGATTAGCTATTAATGAGTAGTTTCCAAATTCAGCACAGTGGGTGAATTTTCTTGTGAGCAAAGGCTTTGCTTGTTTTGTTCATTAGTTATCCCCTAGAAAAGTGACCCGTGGTACAATCTCAGAAAAAATTATTGAATGAACTAAACTAATGAGTCAATGCAAAAGTAACCAGTCAATATCTAATTTGTTTTTTGTTTTAATAAAAAGGCTATTTCACTCATTTAACAAATATTTACTGGGCATCTTTTTCTGTGCAAGGCCCTATGCCAAATGCCAAACTGGGTAAAGACTGTTCATTATAAAGCTCCTAAAACAAATGTAACAGAAAATACGATGAGGCATTTTATTTGAGCTCAAGAAACTACTAATACCACCATCATAGTGCAGACTGCAATATATTAAAAATTACATTTCACTTTGGAGACAAAATTTCCCAATTATACTTCAGGGCAATTGAATTTAAGGCGTTTTCCACAGAAGATCCTGGTTTTCTGATGTGCAGCAGTTTAAAAATCATTATGGGAATGATTCATTTAAAATGATTTGTCATTAGAGCCTCCATAAAGAAGGAATAAGACAACACTTTTTTGGTGCATTTTTGCTTTTCTTTTGGAATTTTTCACTTTGAGGAAGCTAAGAGTAATGCCAAGAACAAACATAAACATTTGAAGTCAAAAGGACATGAATTAGAATCTTAGTTGTAACCTCTTTCAGCTCTTCCATGTATTAAAAAATATGTTTTCTTACTTTGTAAGGTGACTGAAGTTTAGAGATAACAAATATTAACCAGAGAGCAGAGTTCCTGTAACATGTGATATCATTACTTCACCGCCACCTTAACAAACACTGTGCTTGGCACCAGAAGCTTTATTTCTCACTTTGGTCTAAGTATGGGCAAATATTAAATCCTTTTTCCTGCTGGGCACAGTGGCACATGCCTATAATCCCAGCAACCTGAGAGACTGAAGGAGGAGGATTACAAATTCAAGATCAGCCTCAGCAACTCAGCAGGCCCTAAGCAACTGAGCAAGACCCTGTCTCAAAATAAAAAGGAACTGGGGATATGACTCAGTGGTTAGGCACCCCTGGGTTCAATTTCAAGTACCCCCACACATCCCTCCCCCCACCAAAAAAAATCCCTTTTCTTCATTCTTGTGGGTAAATTTTCAAAATACTTGTAAAAACTAAAAAAAGCAAACAAGAATTATGCAAATGCCATTTTTTAGTTTCCTGTTTGTAAGAATCTAAGATCGTCTACAGCTCTAATTCCTTTCTTCAGTTAGCTGTCATTTTGCATTCTGATATAACTCTGAAAACAATTGCCTGAGAGTTCTGCTTTCAGCACAATGGCATGAGAAACTCTGCAGACTTGCTCCTCAACAAAATGGGTGAATATTAGAAAACATTTAAAGTTTCTGGAAATGATCCTAAAAGCAGGCAGGCAAATATTTGAGAAAAATCAGGAAAGCAAGA